CAAGGCCCAGCGTCCACTAGAGGTAAAGGGTTATGTTAAGGGGTAGTTTATATGGATAGGAGGGGAAGATAACAGTTAACTCTAGACTTGAACAGGTTAAGATTATAGTGATCTGGGAGACATCCTCTTAGGAGTCTGTTCCACAAGGCAGTGGTTCATAGGAAGAAGTTGTTTGAGTGAAACTTACTTAACTGGAATAAAAGAAAAATGTGGAAGGAAATGTTAAGTGACCTAACTACCAAGCTTGTGTAAATGTATGGCAGAGTAGGGACTGGGAAAGATAGTAAGGAGTCTAAAACCAAACTAGTTACACTCCATCACCACCGATTGGATCCCAAACAACCACCAGTCACAATGAATGGATGTTCCCTCAAGTAGGCACCATGACTTGAGAGAATATTGGGCCTAAAACTCACACCTGACCTCAAGTGAAACTCATATATATCATCCATTGCTATAGATGCAGGTAAAATTGGCTCCACTAGAGAGTATAGGATCACAGCTCTCAACATTAGGCATGGTTTCCATAGCAAATACGTTTTCATGGGATGGGGTCATTAGCCCCATGCCCAACTGATTTTGAATTCAGAGTTTTCCTTCTCCTAGACTGGTTGATAACCCAGTCTGCATTACTATTTAATCCTTAACTGGGAGTGAGAAGAGATAGGTTCATACCTTTCCCGAGAGTATTTGAATGAAACTACAATTGAAAAGAATTTATCTAAACTTAACATAAAATTTGATACAACTACATCTAAAACAATAAAAGACTTTATATAAAACTAAATAATAAGATAAAACTTGAAGGAGGAATTTACTCTTTCACCATAATAATTTCCACAAGGAACACGTAGAAAAAACCTTGCAAAATTTAAATAAAAGATTATATGAACACAAGGATGTACATTGTGAAGTAATAGATATCAGCCCAGAATGAGAAATTGGTGAGCCATGTTCAAATTAAAATCAGGTTTGTTACATTCATTTATACTCAAATGCTCTTGGAAAAGGTATGAATCCATTTCTTCTCCTCCCAGCCAGAACACAGATTTTTGCTCGCAACTTGCACTTTTCAATTCCCTGATGGCCATAGTGGATTTTGTGAAGTACCTCTTTTGTATAAATTTTGGGATAATGATTCGCTCACCCTTGAGTAAGATTCCATTTTCTATGGTTAGCTCATCCCGATAGGCCAGCATGGTCGCATATCTTTGCCAACTTCTTTGAATGCGTCAGGCCAACCTCGCAGGATCATATCCCCTAGTTCACATATTGTTGGATCAGCATTAATTGCCTGTTGAATCTGTGCTAACTTTTGTGCAGAAAATTGAAAATAGACCTTTATATCCAGGTCAATTGCCTCTTTCAATCTCTTGTTAAGGAGCCTGGAAAAAACATCCGCTAGTGCCATTTCTTTGCTTGGGCAATAAGCAATGATCATGTCATAACCTCCTGTAGCAGAACAGGTTCTATAGCCTTGGTTGGTAACCAGTTTACTACAGGAAAATCTTCTGTCTAGTCAGTCATAAATCGAGAGAGACATGATTGCCCGAGCGTGTCACTTGACTGATATAAAAAGGGATATTTTACAAAACAACACATTTGTATTAGTCACTCATCATAATAAGTTTGACCATAATTTTAATTTAAAAATGCTACTTTAATTAAAAGAGAAATTATTTACTAAATAAGTGTATAGAAACTGCTTTAGTCAGTAGATTGTTCATAGTAAATTTGTGTCCAATTTCTTCCAACATTTCACCTTTCTTGGCAAATCTTTTATCATAATGTGGGATATTTAATAACAAAAGTAATAAAAACAAACAAAAAGAAACTAAATGAAATTGGCGAGATTATATACCCAAACGTATATTTAAAAAAAATAAAATTTAAAAGATTAAAATTTCAGCATCTCCTCTTGTACATGTATAGTTACATCAATGTAAACATCACTTTAGTTTGATGAAGTCCTAAAGGATAAAATGCATTACACAAAAAGTTTTTTCCACTTTATCATTGACTTTCCTAACATTGTTCTGGTATATAAAAATCTATATATTATTTTCTTTCATGAAAGTGAATGTAACAAACTCAACTGGAATTCAAACACTGATGTCTGAATGGTCATTGGTTCAGAATCGTAAATTATTGAACTAGGTTTGAATTTCAGTCAAATTTATAAAAATATAGCTACCAATAATCCTCATATTTAACTATTATGTTGTGTAGTAACAAAACTACATGACATTTAGCACAGGATTTTGTGGATGTTAACAAGTTGGTGGGTCTTGTATGTATTTTTTAGGTGAAGGTGTGTGCTCAATAGGTAAACAAAGAATATAGAAGAAGCATACAAAAAATGTGTTTCTGCTATGAATGTTTATTCCCTTTTTGGTGAGTGTATTGAAACGGTCTCCTAAGTATGTCCATTTTCCTTTTGGTTCTGAACTGATTTATAGCAAAATTTATAGAAAGTAAGGATATGAGCAAGTAAACATGGTCAAGCTCAAAACAGCCTTGTGCTGAGTTGGAAAGACCAAGTATGTCTGTTTTTTTTTTTTGTTTGGTTCTGAAATAATTCATGAGAAGTAAGAATACAAACAGGTAAGGCTGGTCGAAATCATCAGTTACATGCTGAGTTGGAAAGACCAGATCTCTACTTTATGAGTAGGGCTGCTAAAATTAATCTGATAATGTGGAAAAAATTCAGTCATCAGTGGACCAAGGAAAACTAACATTCCTCAGTTGGAATGCTATTACTGTGTGGTTCACATCTTGAAGCCAAGAGGATAAAGAGAAAAAGTCTGTCCTTTACACAAGTAGGGTCATAAAATCAGAATTTCTAGTTTCTTTATAACTTACATAATAGGAAAATTAATTTTTTTTTCATTATTATTATTATTTTTATTTATTGGTTTTATTTCATTTTCCTCACGACTTTACCAGTGAGTCATATTGATAAAGTGTACTTTTTGTTCCATTGCAAGCAATGCATGTTTTGGAAAGAATTTTAGGCCCATCTTTCACTTGATACTAAAAACATTTCTTCTGTGATGCACGTCTCCAGACCAGTTTCTTAATGTGATGCACACCTTGCCAATGGTAACAGCTTTTCCCTTATGTTTTTCTTAAGCCATAGATCCATTAGACGAGGAGTCAGATGTATAGACGGACATGTTTGTAAAGCTGAAGACACAGGCTGGGAAGATAAAAGGTGGCCACTGATTTCTGGTGCACACTCGACTGAATAGTCCATCCACAAATGAGCTAACGAATCCAGTGTTATGCTGCCCCCCAGCCGATCAGCCACATTAAAGAGATTTTCATTAAGGTTAGTGTTTGTGTGCATGTCGTCTAACAAAGTTTCCATTACCTTCCAGGCATTCTGGAAATACATGGTCTCCTACGTTGGATCTCTGGTCTGTTTGGAAATCAGAATGGGATGGCATGCAAGGTTGTGGGACAGCAAAAATAAGAATACAAATCATGTGGTGAGGAGATGTCTACTCTTTGTAAGGAATTACTATGGTAACATGATTTGGAAAACAAATTCACAAGTCATTTTAAAATGGAAAAATATAATCTTAGAGAATTTAGACTGATCAAAATAGAATCATGGTCCCCACAACCCCACCTTGATTTGAAACTAGTTAAGCTGGAGGAAAAAATTATCAATAAATATTCATAGGTCATTATTTGTTATCAATAAATTTTTCTAAGAGTTCTATTTGCATTCATTTTCAATCTACTGAAATTTGCTCAAAGAAATTTTAGATAAAAAAAATTAGGAATTTCAGTGTTTTATCAATTTTTCCTCTACCAATGGAAACATTTCTATGAAATGTTTTTATAAGCAACTTTTTGGACCAATACTTAATTTTTGCAAAAAAAAAAACAAAAAAAAAAACAGTACTTACACTATTTTCACTTAGCATCAATTTACACTGACAGCTTAAATTTTGAATATGTTATGACCATTTTGTTTAAAGTTTCTATTTTCTTAATTTCAGATGAACATACTGAAATTTTCCGCTTGAAAAATTACAGTTTATAATTATAGTTTAGATATATTGAAAAAGGAATTAGCTCAGAAGATAGCAAGCTTACTCAATGGGTAAGGTCCAGAACAACCAAATTGTCAATGCTAAACTGTATCTTGAACAAATGAACAGGCTCAAAGAGGCAATTCAGATGAAAAGACCTGACTAGTGACACAGTATGATTATTCAACAGTCAAATAAAAACCTTGGCTGGGAAGTTCTGCTAAACCCACTATATTCTCCTGATTTAGCCCCTTCAGACTACCACCTCTTTTGGTTGCTTTCTAACATTGTTCTACAATGGTGTGGAGCTAAAAACATGTCTTGATGAATTTTTTGAGTCAAAATTTCTATTGTTGAGGCATTGAACTGTTAGTGAATTGTTGGCAGGAGGTTGTAAACAATGGAGGGGAAGACATTGTTGAATGATTCATCAGAACTATAGTTGAATAATAAGTATTAAAATAAATGATAATAAAACATGATTTATCTAACAACCTAATACTTTTAGAACCATGTCATTATATGCATAACCATTTCAGCAAATATGATTCACATTTTTTTTACTTAAATCCTACCTATGATATCATGGGTTTCATCAATAACTTGTCAATATATTTAAATGATGAAAATATTATAAGCAAGAACTATATTTAATGTAAAATATAGTGAGAAATGTTGCTCAAGTCACCAAGAGCTCAAGGCAATAAATTGATCATTTTAGTCTCAATATACTTATGGCAAGGAGTTCTTTAGAAAGATAAGTACCTCATCCCAATCTGTTTTCAAAGATGATCAAATACATTCTGATAGTTATTCTTAATATGGAAATTTTAATGAAGCATTTGCTTATTTTGTGTTGTTTTGGTTTTTTGTGTATAGCTCAAAGTCTAAAGTCACGAAGCAGAAACTCCAGCTGATTTGATGAGGCAATTATTGATGAAATATTGAACAGAAATTTCAGTCAGGCTGGGTTGAAGCAAACAAAGAAGATGAAGACAGAAAAGGAAAGAGGGAAAGAAAAAAGGGACAGAAAGAGATAAGGGAAGAATTAATGGGAAAGAAGAAGAAAGATATGTGAAAAGAAGTTGAAAGAGTGCAAAAGGATAACAAAAGATAGGAAAGAAAGTAAGAAAGGTAATGAAAATGAAAGGATTCAAAAATGGATATGAAATTAGGAGGAAAAAGTAACGTCAAAATGAAGGGAAAAAAGGTGAAGCAAAAAGTCAAAAGAGAAGGAAATAGAATAATATTGATGAGAGATGAAAAAAGAAAAAATGGAAATATTAGGACGAAGTATAAATGAAAGAGAAATGTAAAGGAATGGAGATGAATGAAAAATGAAAAAAGACAGGGAAAGATATTTCTGAAAGAAGAGCAAAATGAAAGACAAAATAGAAGGATAAAAGGGAATGAGATAAAATTTTTAGAAAAGAAGGACCATCAAAAGAGAAAAATTAAAGGAAGAAAAAGAAAGAAAGAAAGAGAAAGATAAAAATAGAAATTTATCGAGAAAAGAAAGAAAAACTAATAGTAAAAGTGGGAAAGTGAAAATTTAGTTGATGAAAACTAATAAAGAAATAAATCGCAAAAAGAAGGAGAAAAGAAACTGAAGAAGAAGAAAAGCAAAAAGAAAGATAAAGAATGATGAAAAGAAAGAATGACAAATGAATCAATGAAAAAGAATAAAAACTGAAAGAGAAAGAAAGCAAAAAATAAAAGAGAAAGAAATGGGGTAAAGGAAAATTTAAAACAGGAATATGATGTTAGAGAAAGAAAAAAAGAAAACTTTTGAATTTGAAATTTTAAAAAGTCTTGAAAATAGACAAAAATGATAAGTAAAAAAAAAAATGGGAAAAAAAAACAAGAAGTAAAAAAAAATGTAAACTTTTTAGATATTTAATGAAATTATGAAAACAAGGTTTGGAAAATAGAAAGAATATAAAAAGAAAAATGGGAGAGTAACTGAGATTTGGAAGAGGAGGAGAGAAAAAGTAAATGTGGGAGGGTAAAGGTATGGAAAAGAGTGAAGTGGTGAGGAAAATAGAAAAAACATATGTAAAATGAGAGGGTGACAGATAATGAAATAAAGAAAGAAAGTGAAATCCAAAGAAAGAGAAGAAATATTAGAAAGCAACAGAGAAAGAATTGTTTAAAAAACAACAATCTAGTAAAAGTACTGGAAATAAAATGGTACAATTTAAATAAGTACAAATACAATAAAAGATGTAAAAATGCATAAGAACGTCATCAATAATCTTCCCTCTAATGACATCAACATTGCTATATGACACAGCAATGGCTTATAGTTGTGACATTTAAATTGAAATCTGAAGCAATACTTTGTGTTAACTTCATGCCATTTATTTAAGTCATCATTATTGCTTCAACTGCAATAAAATTTGAAATCCTTAAAATATAAATTAATTACATTAGAACCCAAAAGAACAAGATATCTGTAGACATGGACAACTAAGCAAGATACAACCTACCCCTGCAGATTAATTAAAGAGTTCAGTTTGAAATTCCTTGAAGCTTAACAAGAATGACAAACACCTGAAGAAGGCTGGAGGGTACAACAGCTGAAACATTGTGATAATAATAATAACAATGATGAGGACATTAACCTGAATGTAAATTATGCAAATAATAACTTCTCATTCCAGAAATTCAAACAGAAAATTAAAATATTTAGAAAACTTCTAGAATATTACTGAGACGGACCATTCATATTTGAGCCTACAGGTAGAGACTGGCTGTTCACATTTGAGCCTATAGAGAGACACTGGGCATTCACATTTGAGCCTATAGAGAGACACTGGGCATTCACATTTGAGCCTACAGGGAGACACTAGCCGTTCACATTTGAGCCTACAGGGAGACACTAGCCGTTCACATTTGAGCCTACAGGGAGACACTGGCCGTTCACATTTGAGCCTAGAGGGAGACACTAGCCATTCACATTTGAGCCTACAGAGAGACACTGGCCATTCACATTTGAGCCTACAGAGAGACACTGGCCATTCACATTTGAGCCTACAGAGAGACACTGGCCGTTCACATTTGAGCCTACAGGTAGAGACTGGTCATTCATAAATGAGCCTATGGGTAGAGACTAGTTGTTCATATTTGATCCAAATGACAGAGGTAGCTGAAATTTCTGGGACACAAAAAAAACCCCAAAAAACAAAAGAACTTGGAAAATTTAACACTTGCAGAACATAGGAGATGAAGGAGAGAAAGAAACAGTGAATAACCTACAGGAAAATGGCAAAAAGGAAATGCCTGGAACCTGGAACAAACACTTGAAGGAAATGTAACTAACATTGATACTGATTCTTGTCCATACGTTCCTGACTGCATGCATTTTTATTGATGAGCGATGTTAGACAAAAACCCAGAAACTCGAATGGAAACACTCCCGACAGAAGCCCGAATGGAAACACTGCCGACAGAAACCCAGATGTAACAGGTTTCAAAATTGGCATTATATTTCTGCCAGTTTTTTCTTTTTCTTTTCATTCAGCCAATACACACATGATTTGATACTTTTGCACAACTGAGCATGTGAGGTATTGCCACAGAGATAGAAAAAGGTCAAAAGTTAATTAGGACAACAAAAGACAGAAGTTGATGAGAGCCATGATCTGTCACATTCTGAAGAGACATGGCACAGAGGAGTAGAGGAAGAATGCTTGATCACATTCTGAAAAAACAAGGGGAACAGGAACAAGAAAACTTACATTTATAGTCAGAAAGACATCACTGAGCTTAGGGTGGAAAAATAAACTGAGACTGGCTACTAAAATCTGAAGCAACACAAAGATCACACAAAACATGCTAATCTGAACAACTGTTTTATTCAAACTAACTCTTCATTCTTAAAATTGGTAAAAATCAGGCCCTGTGGAAACTGTTAAACTTCTTTTCCATTCTGGTTTTTGCCAATTTGTCTCTCCCAGATTCATGTGAAGTTGGGCCCTCTTTGTAGTAAGTATAGCTGGTAATATTATTTTTTTCAAAAACGTATAGCTGGTAATATTTTTTTTTCTTCAAAAATTTATTTCTGGTAATAATATTTTATAAAGTATTTCTGGTATTAAAACCTATTTTTACATTTTTATAATGCCTTTTACCTCAGTTTCTGGGTTAACTATTTGCCCATAGCTGGGACCCTAACAGGTGCAACCACCTTGGGTCAGAGCGAACCTGGGAACACCAGCAAGTAAGAGGGGTTCCACACTCCTCAAAGCCTCCTGATCAGAGGCCTTGCTGTTGGACGTAGTTTATTGTCTTACCCAGGACGTGAATGTAGTTTATTGTCATACCCTGAACGAAGTAAGTATTTTGGATGTAAAGGTAACATCATTCACTGAATTTTCTGGAACACATTGTGAGGAAAGAAAGCCTGCAAAATTTAGTATGAAGAGGATATATTGAAGGCAAAAGAATCAATGGGAAATAGTGAGTAACCGACTTGATATGTTTGTGTGAATGGATGGCAAAACAAGAAAGAAAGCCTGCAAAATTTAGTTGGTTGCTTTTGTTTAATGGTATATCAACCTTTTTGGGTTATGAATGCTGAAATCTAAATATTTTGTACATGGTTTTATTTTATTATTTTTTTTGAGATAATAATGATTTTATCAATACAAGTCTTACTAATTAACCCATAGTTGGGGGAGAAGAGGTAGATTGATCTTTCCCAAGGATATTTGCATGAAAGTGAATTAACTGGAATTGGAACTTGGCTCTCCGATTAACAATTCCGAGTCATTATCCATTACATCACCTGTACATTCAAACTTACAGCATCTGATATTCCCAAGTGGTCACCCATTTAGGTACTGACCAGGCTCAATGTTGTGTAAGCCTACAGAATTTAGTATGAAGAGGACATATTGAAGGCAAAAGAACCAGTGGGAAATAGTGAGTAATATGTTTGTGTGAATGAATGTCAAAAAAAAAGGACAAAGAGAGATGGTAAAGGGTCAAAATTCCCCTGTGTCTTCTATGCAATATGTAGGTTTACTAATTTTACTAATTACTAATTTTTTCTTGATTTACCTGGCTGAAATTGGGGTGCATCTTATATACCCATGCATCTTATATGCCATCAAATATGGTAATTAGAACAATGAAAGATAGGAAGTTATGGAGAGCCCTTATTGCCTATATCCTGAAAGTAAATGGCACATAAAAGAATCAGGGTGGAGAAACATCAAGTACCCTAAAGAAGTTTGTGTGAACATATAGCAGAATAGGGGTAAAAAAAAAAGGATAGTAAAGAGTCAAAAGTTTGATAGCAATAAAAGAAAAAGAAGTGGTGGAGAGCCAAGATTTCCCACACCCTGAAAGACCATGGTATAGAAAAGAAGAATGTATGCATGAATGTGTGTGCATTCCAAAAGAAACTGAAAAAGAAGGGTTAATATAAAAAAACACACCCACATTCATGTTGATTGGACACAGACAGAAGAATCTGGGAGTTTTCACCATCTCCTATCCATCCCAACCAAGCAGTGCAAACAAAGATCTGAAATAAAAAGAGTCAGTGAATGAAAGAAGATATCAGTCATCAAATGGATGAATCAATCAACAGGGAAGAATTGGAGGGGGATGTATTGCTGTCAACACCGATCATCATCGATACAGTAAAGATGGGAGGTTCCTTAGATCCCTTTGAGAACAGATAACATTTAAGGATGAGACAAGATGCAGGGGTAAGAGGGAAGTTATCAACAAGAACTCAAGATGCATTATTTCAATCAATGATGATAATACCCTACTGGTGCAGCGCTCTCATTCAGGGTGCTGGATGACATAAAACCCCTATGGTTATATGGATATCTTCTAAATTTGGCTCAAGGTCATGCATGTAGGGCACCCAGTGAAGATCAAACTGCCAGTTTTTTTTTTTTTATTTGAATCATTTCACTGCAAGCAAATGCCACTAAAATGCAGAGTTAGGGGTTATGAAAGAGAATTTAGTGAGGAGACATAAGGAAAAAGATAATAAATGAACAAAGTTCCTGGAAGACAGAAGATGGCAATTGACATTGCATTTAAATTTTTGAAGATTGTAGGTATCAAAATATCAGAAGAGTTCCAGAGGCAAGAAAAGAAACTATTAGAATAGAACATCATCTAGCTAGTTCAACAGTTAAATGATAAGACCTAATTGCCAATCTAGTAGAACGTTTAAATTCATGAAGTCATGGCATTAAGGAGGAAAACTCATCAGAACAATCACCATGAAAATATTTGTAGAAAAGATAGAGGGAAGTTACACCACATTGGTGAGAAAGTGACTGAGGTGACAGATGCCAGGTCAGGATCGATTACATAACAGACCCTTCTTTCTTTGTTTTGTTTCACGGCATATCAACCTGAATGGGTCATTTAATACCGACAACTGGTAATATTTTTGTTTTGTCAATAATCTATTTCTGTTAATATTTTTTTCCTCAAAAATGTATAGCTGGTAATGTTATTTTTTTCAAAAACGTATAGCTGGTAATGTTATTTTTTTCAAAAACGTATAAGCTGGTAATATTTTTTTTTCAAAAACGTATAAGCTGGTAATATTTTTTTTTCAAAAACGTATAAGCTGGTAATATTTTTTTTTCAAAAACGTATTGCTGGTAATATTTTTTTTCTTCAAAAATTTATTTCTGGTAATAATATTTTATAAAGTATTTCTGGTATTAAAACCTATTTTTACACTTTTATAATGCCTTTTACCTCAGTTTCTGGGTTAACTATTTGCCCATAGCTGGGACCCTAACAGGTGCAACCACCTTGGGTCAGGGCGGACCTGGGAACACCAGCAAGTAAGAGGAGGTTCCACACTCCTCAAAGCCTCCTGATCAGAGGCCTTGCTGTTGGACGTAGTTTATCGTCTTACCCTGAACATGAATGTAGTTTATCGTCATACCCAGAACGTGGGTGTAGTCTCAGTTTCTGGGTTAACAATTTGCCCATAGCTGGGACCCTAACAGATGCTACCACTCCGGGTCAGGGTAGACCTGGGAATATCAGCAGTTAAGAGGTGGTTCCATGCTTCTCAAAGTCTCCTGATCAGAGGCCTTGCGGTTGGATGCAGTTTATCGTCATACCCATTTCTTTGAATTTTGCCAAGATATATAGTAGGAGCACCAGATGAGATATGGTATTATTCAATGCATAGATGAATGGCATATTTATAAATCTACAACTTGGATCCCGACAAGAAAAACCGTCTGGTACAACACAGTGAACCAACTTTCCTAGCAGTAGACCTAGCAATTAAATCAATATAATCACACCGTTTCATGCAAGTGGAAAACCTTAGCATAAAAAAGCACAAAGTGTTGCTTTCCTGGAGTTTAGCATCAGCCATGCTGGTGGCAGACAAAAAAACATTCTCTATGGTGATTAAATGAAAGCAGTTTTGTTTTGGAGGCATTCAGATTTACAAGCCATTACTTGCACCAGTTAACCACTGATTGAGGTACTTTTCAAGAGTGACTGCCAGTTTTACTTTGCTGGATGTGTCAGAGTTGTTACTAAGACAGGAGTAAATAGTTGTACCATCTGCATAAATACCTATTTGGGAACTGATGACATTGGGAAGTTTATAGATGTAGATCAGAAACAGTGTAGGTCCAAGGATAGAACCCTGGGGTATCCTTGTATTAATAGGAAATGGTCTAGAAGTATATCAGTTCAACATGATCTTCATTACACAATTTGATAGGAATGATTCGATTAAGCCATGTATTTATCTCCAGAGACACTGTAACTGTTGAGCTTGTGGAGACAGCCAGCATACTAAACTTGAACATCTTTGAGATAGATAGAATTACAGTGCAAGTTTCACCATTCTTATTTAAAGCTTGATAGACAAATTCAGTGATAGCCGTTAACACATTGACAGTAGACCTGGAGAAACAGAAGCTATATTCAGTATTTACATTAGTCGGACTATTGTCCTCATCTTTGTCGCCATATTTGTCACAACATTTCGGCCGTTGTACGCTCCGGCCTTCTTCAGGTGGTTGGAATTTCGAACTGAACTCTTTATTCCGATCACTGGGGTAGACTGTTCTAGTTCCACATGTCAGTTATCAGTTATCTCCTGCTAATTTTCCCTCTGAAAGTTCTCCACTGCCTTAACCAGGAATTGAACTCACCTTCTTTGGGTCTGTCACTGGATCTAATCAATGCCTTTATCCACTGTGCCATGTGTCCTTGAGGGCAAAAAGGGTTCAGTTCGAAATTCCAACCACCTGAAGAAGGCCGGAGCGTACAACGGCTGAAACGTTGTGACAAATATGGTGACAAAGATGAGGACAATAGTCCGACTAATGTAAATACTGTACATAATACCTCATCTCAGAAATATAGACAGACTCAGAAGCTATATTGTTTACTTGAAAGGAGGCCATGTGAAGTAAGATGCTTAGTCAAATCGGCATTGATTAGAGCCTCTAGTACATTGCCAAATAGTTGTAAGAGACTAATAGGTCAATAATTTGAGGGGTCAGAAGTTTTTTAAAGACATCAGAAGCACATTTCTTTAAGACAATTTTTGTTTTAATCATTTCACTCCAAACAAAGCAATAAAGCCACTAAGATGCAAAGGGTTACTGAGTGTGGTATATGATAAAAAAACATTATTAAGGAAAAAGAATAATAAGAGAAGAGGAATTAAGAAAACAGAAGGTAATGATTGACATTGCATTTAAATTTTTGAAGATCAAATTTGACCAGAAAACAAGAAACCAGAAGAGAATCTCACAGGTGCTAGAAGAAACTTTTACATAGAGCTTACAATTACATCTAGTCATTTCATCTGTAAAATGATGAAACTTTGCTGCTAATCAAGTACTTCACTTAAATTCATAAAGCCTAAGTACCATACAATTCCAGGGATACCATTGACTCTGCAAGCCTTGTAGGGATCTAGTTTAGAAATGATAGCAAAAACCATGGACAGAATTATGTGGATAACACTCAGTAGAGACACTGTTCTAGGGTAAAAATCAGGAAGATATACTCCAGTTGAGTTGAGAATGGAAAAAGAAGAGAATTTCCAAGCAAAACACTGTTTTATCTTCAGTAGATGACAATAAATTAATAAGAATATCTTTTAAACACTGTTCCCTACTGAGATGCCTCTATATTTCTATTGACTTACCATAGTCTGGTTTGGTAAAAGGCCATTGTCCCCAAAAAAAAAAAAAAAAAAAAAATCAAACTTACTACAACAGTAATTGTCTGCAAGAGAAGCCTTCTAACCATTGTTCCATTTATGTGTGCTGAAAACTTCTTGGCTTGACCAAGTAGAAATTAAAAAATAATTCTAATGGGTCATTTAGTTAGATTTTGGTAAGTGGTTCAGGCCAAGAAATTTTCAACTGGATATAAATGGGGAATTATTTTTATATTCTTGTTAAATAATAAAATGATCTGCCAGAAATGACTACATACAATGTGTGCTGAAATGATCCTGGTTCAACTAAGGGACTGAAAATATAATTTTAATGTTTGATCATTTGGTTAGATTTTGGAAAGTGGGTCAGGCCAAAAAACTTTCAGCATTTACTATGTACTTGCTCAATGTATGTTTGTATACACATACACACACATATCAATACATTTGTAACTGAATAATGAAAAAAAAAATTCATTTTATAAAAATATTCATCTTCAACATAATTTCTTTCTTTGTCAATAAATTTAATTAGATAGTGAAAATTTCAGCTCAAAATTCAGCTAATAACTGCATGTCAAACTACAGACTTACTCATCCATACACATGTATATATCTTATGCACACACAAGTAACATATTTTTAGTTAACTGGGGATATATCTGTTTGAGCCTAGACTTGAAAAACTACAGCAAATCAATCCAAGAACTTAGCACACACAAATACATTAGAAACCAGGAAAAATATAGAAAACACAAACAAGAATATCAATTACAAAGAAATTTTGGTAAAGCTATATATATATATATATATATATATATATATATATATCATAAGTGTATTTGGGAGGTAGTTTTAATTTATAAAATTTTATTTATTAGTTTACATACCCCCCCCCAAAAAAAAAGGTGTGTGTTAAGAGGATGGTTTATCTGTTGACACTACTACTCTATACTCCCTCAGAATTTTTTTATTATCTTAAAAATCTATTTTTAGAATGTTAATAAAAATCAAATATAAACTGAATTTTTATTAATTCTCTTCTTTCTTGAGAATTGATAAGAAAAGTATTTGTTGTAATCTAGGGAAAGGATACTAAATAGAATAATCACATGAAAGTTGGTAATGAACGATAATACTTAGGACACGAACAACACATATAAGATTTGCCAGCAGCGATAAAAGTAGTAATCAACTTCTAGAAGTAAGTTCTATGTTAACAGTTTCTTTTCTTACACTTCTTGCTTGTGGAACTCCCTTCTGGCTCCATGTTTTCCAGCCAACTTTAATCTGCAAAAATTTAAATGCAATGTCAATCGGTATTTACTGTTGTCCTGATTTCTCTTTTCACTCATTATTAATGTTTCTGTTCCAAATTCTTCTACACCTTGTAACCTCCTTGTGTTTAATGGCTTTACTGCTTGCATGGGATGATAACAATTAAAAAAAATATATTGTAATTGATTTACATATTTATAATTTTTATAAACATATAGATATAAAATTATTCTTGTAAATAATCTAATATAATAGTGTTTAATTTTTGCATTGTCAATTTGACAGTATTTTATTTAGTCAAGGGTCTGTATTGCAGTTCACTGTTTTATCAATAATGTATAATAAATATAC